AAACAGTTTTTCAAACAAAATATAAATGAGCAAACGAGTAAGTGATAAATAGATAACAGGCTATTTAACAGATTTAGTCCGGAATTGTCACACATTTCCAAACTTCTTGCATCAATTGATGGATATATTGCGTTTCATTTATATTGGTTTATGAATAAGTTGTTCCTTAATTAAAGGAACGGACAATATGTTGTGTACTTGCGAATATTCTGCTAGAATGTGAAATATGACTCACTGAAGATTAATTTTGTTATAAATATTCAGTTTGAATAACTTGGAATTCCAAACTTAAATGCCTCTTGCAAAGTATATCGTAATGTTCGAAATTGGCAAGAATTCATGTATAAATTGTTCGTTGCGATTAATGGATCATCCAACAAATCTAGAATAAGTGGCGCATTTGAATTCCTCTGTAGATTCATTTTTTGTGTTTTGCATTTAGACTCATAATGTGAAGTTTTTTGAACTCAAAATACGATTTTTCAAACAGCGAGATCTCTTAGACTTGTTTTATAATTATTACCGACTGGGGGTAATTTCAGATGAACAATTTTATGCGAGTAATGAGATTGCGGGAAGTTTGACCAATGAAATTTGCTTATGCAATGCTGTATTCATTGTCCAAATTCAAAATAATGCTGTAATGAAGTACTCATTGCACCATGCTATTTTATATCGTGTTGTATTTATTCTACGTTCATGCATGCTTTTTTTTGTTTTCTTGCATAATGAATGGGATTTTGGGTCTCTCGACTTTCAAATTGATTGCTTATCACTTGATTTTTTTTCCATATGATTACTTTATACACTCGTCATATTATGTTGAAGTAAAACAGTGTACAATTTCAGTCTTCACTTTTAATACATTTGAAACCTAATAAAATTCAATAAAATTGATTTAAAAATTCAGTTTGATCGTTTTATGCATGAAAGAATGAAATAACTTTTAAAGAATCATTCTGGATAATTTATCTCCTTCTTTCGAAGTATTTTGATTGAGAGATTTATATATCCGTTTTTTCAGAGAATTGAGGCTATTCGACTATCAATCAGTCTAAGTCTTAATTGGAGCTTCTGCTCCCTAACTGTACCAAACAAATAAGTCGTTCCCTGTCATAAGTTCCTGGAATTCTGTCTTGCAAACAAAGTTTTGGAAGAGCAACAAATCTCGTCATCCAGAAGCTCAATAATTCGATCTTAACTACGAGAATTCTCCTAGAAGTTTTATGGAAAATTCTAGAAGTCTTGTGAAAATTAACAGGATGAGATCTAACGGACAACTTAGCTGTCTCAATTGGAAACTACAACTAATTCAATGTGGAAACATTTATCTTATGATATAGTAAAGTATAAAATCTCGAATTACTCATCCCATTGGAAGTTCCAAGAGTACTGTATATCCACGTTTTCATATGAAATTTTAATGTAATTTTCTACTAGGCATAAGTGATTGTGATCGTAAGTTAACTGCAACTTTTCCTGAATCAATCTTCTATTCACCACCATTTTTGTAAAAAAAAAAGAGTTTGTGAACATATGGAAAGGGTCATACCATAATACTGGCAATAGTAAAATGTTAGCCTAACAAGCTTAATATTGGAACGGGTATTTATGACACGCATGTTTATTACTTGAGTGTTTTCTGGATTAAAATAAAATGATTCTAATTTCAGTAGTAAAATATTTCGAGTAAGGCGTAGTATCAGTTTAACAACAGTGAAGAGTTGTTTGTTTCATGTGCTCAATTGCGTAGAATCAAAACTTTGCTCTCGTACTTCTCATTCCGTTCTTTAGTATCTTTACATTTCTCAGCATTACTTTCTGGCTACAACTGCGCAAAAACTTGACGTTACATACTGTTGTCTCTCAAAAATGTATGATTTTCAATATGGAAACATAACCAAAATCTTTTCATAATGGGATGTTGTTGAAGCGACGTGAAAATAACTTCCGCTAATGTAGTGAAAGTGGGGGTGTCGGTTTGTTCGTTTCGTGCCGCACTAACGGATCATTTTGTTTGTTCAAGAATTACTTGTGTGAGAAAAGATTTAAAAAAAAAATTTCTTTTGAAGTTTGAGGGCAAAGCATTTCCTGGTTCAGTTTCATCAAAATTTCAAGTTTAAGTCTGGTCACTTGACTCTTCTGTCCTTTCTCCTACCTTCATTATTAGCGATCATTGTGATTAACAGCTGTACTTTAATGTTATAGTCATATTCAACCTATTTTATCTTCAATTTGTAGTTTGGAAAAACAATGTGGAAGATCTGAACAGGTTTAGTTGAGATGCGTGCCATTATTTCTGATCTGCAGCGAGCCGTATTTCAAGTAGCAGATGAACGTTTAGTTGCAGTTGCTAATATTGTTCGTGTCGACAATAAAAAACGACGAAAGCCAACATTCCTTTGCCTTACTGGTTTGTTAATTAATAATGTCTAAATTTTTTTTTATGATGCATCAATCTAATTTTTATCTAGATTTTTATCTATTTTTTATTTGATTTCGAACTGTTTCTTGTCAATTCTTTCAAATTATGACATTCTTGCAGTGACTACGGATCAACCAATAGCTGTACGTCTATATTTTGTTAGAAATGAGAAGGAAGATTATTACAAGAAGAAAAGACAATTCACATTGCGAGATGTGAAGACAGTTGATGGTATCAACCCACGGAAGGTTAATTACATTTTGATAGCTCTTACTGAGTAATTAATTAAATCGCAGTATCTCAAAAGTTTTTCAAGAATCCCTGAAGAATCTGTCAGTTGCAGTTGACACCGGAGTTCGAATTGGTTGTTGAGGATCGTTTGTTCAGACTTTGTGCTTCCACAACTGAAGAGAAAGATTCATTCATCAAGCAGTTGTATAAGGTCTTTCGAACTATTTTTTATCATCCATAATTTTTCAAATTTTCAAGTTTAGAAATAGTCAGCGTATTTTAGTTTGCCAATAAATACCTCCCGGTACAGAAACCGGATTTTGTAAACGTTCCGATTCCTGTTGAAACACCGCACACAGCCGTTATAGCAGAGCAAGTTGATGGTGATACCGATGAAGGGTTAGTTGATTATCAGGTTGGTGCAGAAATATATATACTTTGATCTTTTTGCATTGCTTGATCTAAGTTTTATCGTCTTAGTATGCATTATTCTAGTAATTCCAGAAGTTTTTATTAGATATTGTTTCAGCCAATATCTATTAAAGAGGAAGCTGATTTTCGTCGTCTACTTGCCCGTGCTAATCTTACAATCGGTGAAGCGGATAAATTTGCCACAGTGCTTGCATCACAGCTTCAACTTCTAGATGGTGCAAACATACAGTCCATTATGGATAGTGAAGCTGCTGTGAACGATCTTATTGCACTTGTTGAAGATGCCTTGGAAGAAGCTGATTTCTTGGATAAGGAGCTTGACAGCTTCGATGAATTACTTTATGTTAGTACTCCTATATGATTTTCTTGGGTTTACAGTATTGTATCCATTTATACTTGCCGGAATCATTGCTTAATTCTCAAATCAGCAATTCTTACTTGTTAAAAACCAGACTTGTTAACTAAAATTTACATATAAAGTTCATCGATTATGAGTTAAAGATGAGGAAGAACTGTTGATTTACTTGTTTCTTATGAATTAAACAGCATGTACGCGATAGCGTTGAATTGATCGAAGAAAAAGATAGCCTTGGATGTGTTGAACGGAAAAATACTCGAGTCTTGAAAGATTTCTTATTGGAATTGGTGACAAATGTAGATATCGTTAGTGAAGATCACATGCGCGCATTACAGAATGCGAACTTGTCCGATCCTGTAAGGTAAGGATTAGTTTATAGAGTCGTTTGAGAGTGATGACGTTTCTTGAGTGTTAAAGCTATGGAATTTTTATGTTCTCTCTTACTGAATATTACATTGCAGTATTAGTCGATGTTGTGCTGCGGCACGTGCTTTACAAGCTTATTCAGCAGCAAAAGTTGATCCATCAATGCATTTAATGATGGCATATAGGGAAAGAACTGAGCAGTTAAATCAATTAACTGACTGTTTTATCGAGAAACTGATGGCACACATGTCAGCATTATTCTCAAATTTGGTACGTTTGCAATGCTCGTATTTTATTCATAAAAACATCGTTCGCGCATTAGAAATTTCAGAACGATTTGATAGAAGTATCAGATTGGCATGAAATTGCAATACGAAAACAGTCTGAAAGATTTCATGCGCTACGACCATTTTCGGATTTGATGGGTTGGTTGAAATTGGTTAGACAAGGTGCGTATCAAACTCTTATACAGGTATATATTTTTAGTAGAGATGTAGAAGTTTGTCCTTATATTTAATTAAATGGAGCCTAATTTTCGAATTTTCAATAATATAAATGTAATCATAAAAGAGTGCAAGTCACTCCTAACTCTCAAATCTGTTTTTTTTTTCAGAGGTATGTACAGAATACGAAGTTGATATACAAGAAGGAATTTGAGCGCTTCTTTGAAAGTGTAAGTAGTGAACTGAACAAAATTGTCAATTTCGAACGCAAAGCCACTCTTCGAGGTTCTGACACAATGAAATCTGTAGCCGAAAGAACTTTATCTGTTGAAAGTAAAATTGATTCGAAAGAAGTCATTAGAGTAAGCATATTTCATGTCTTCAAAAGATAAGTTCGGCAGGTTAAAGACTAAGAATGGTTCTCGATAAAATTCACACTTTTAATACCAGTTTTCAGAATGTTGTAAATTGGGCGTGAAAATTAAGAAATAATATAAAGTCATAATTTTTAGTGTTATGCATCATTTTAGTTGGTTGAAATCGTGTTGGGTGAAGTTGGCCCAGTGGTTGAGTCGGAACAAAAGTTTTGCACAAGATTTTTTCATATGGCCGGTGATCTTTTGGCTGCATTAGAAACTCAGTCCACATCAAGCGGAGATAGTGGTGGTATGGGAAAAAATGTTGAAAAACAAATCACTGACCAGGTAAATCAACTCTTCCTGATAGAGAACTTATTTAGAGTTTCTTTCTTCAAAATCCCCAGGTTTTAATTTTTAAACAAAGCGTTGTCAATATCATTATAATGTATATTTATTCATTTTTCTGTGCGGTTCAGGTGCGTGCGATTTTGTCTCCGTTATTCGAGCCTCTACATGATCATTTTGATAAGTTTATCAAGTCCTGCTGTCGATTGCAACCGCCGTATATGTTTTCTCTCTTTTGTTTCAGTTTTATACTTTAAAGAGAAAGGAAAAATCAGATCATTCGGTTTGAAAGCTTGAAGTTCTATGTTGTGGTTTTCATTTTTCTTTTGGAGAGATAAAAGCACTGAAATTTGGTTTTGCATAACTTGCCACAAGTTTTTAGGTTTGTGTTTGTGATGTTTGTGTTCTTGTCGAAAAAGGCACTTTCGTTGCAAGATGCGTCATCGTATTTTTCTGTCATGGTTTTCGGACGTTTGGTTGTGCTGGTTAAAAGACAAATGGATGCATATTTGGTAAATGGTTTGAAATCATTTTATTCACTTTTTAAATTTCTCCTGATAGTGAATCCTCATAGCAATAGTTGTTATATGTAGTAAAAATTAAGATCCCAGTATGTGATACTTAGGTATCTTTGCAGGATGGTAAATCTTACCAGTTGGCTGAGATCAAAATTTCAAAAAGAATACGGATTGGTATTCTGGAAAGTGTTTACCAGTTTGCGGTATACTTTTTATTTGAAAATTTTACAGACTTTGTAAGCTATGTTTTCATTCACGAAGATTGTGTTGAATACCTCTTACTGAAGCGCATATTTTTACAGGAATTGGCTCGTACAACAGAATCAGCTTTTGCTGGAACTGAACGTCGAGCTGACCTTGACCGGTGGTATGTACAGCTTATAACTTCTTTGAAAGATGGGATCGAATATATTGCTACATCACCATTTTCGAAATCGCCAGCTGCAGTTGTTCGATTCGAAAATTATCATCATTTGTATTGTATGCTTAAACATTTGGATTTTACAATTAAAATAATTTTTCTATTTTTCCATTGAGGATAGCAGTCATTGTTTGCTTTGAGATTTTATGTCAGAGTTCTGGCAAGATTTATTGTTCTGAAATATCTATTAATAACAAGGTTAAATAATACGAATCATAAGTCTTGCAGAAGTATATCGAAGTACATAATACTGCTATGCCAGTTAATTAAGGAGGAAGTTTTAGCCAGAATCAGATTTTTTTTTTCAGCTGTTTTATCGGAACTGAAAATCGATTGCTTAGATTCGCAAAGGAAAGAAGCAAAAAAAGCATATCAAGATAATATACAGATTTATGTGAAAGAATTGATGGGAAGACCGCTTGAGAAAATACATGTTAGTTTTGCGCAGTGACTTATTATTCTGGAAATAGGGTAAACACTTTATAGCATTCAGTGGAATCTGTTCTGTCATTCAAAAGGAAAAGATGCTTCATAAAAATTGCGCTTGAAATTAAGATCTATAAGAAGTATTTTTATTTCAGCACTTTTTCGAATCAGTAGAAAATGCCATTCGACAAGGAATCAAGCCAGAGGAAGTAGCATTTCACCAGCAGTTTAGTCGAGCAGAACTAAAGAAGGTACATTATAGCGCTTTTTCTCTACGTAACTTTAAGGGTGTTTTTCTATATTCAAAGCCTCCAAAAATCTCAATTTTGTTTGAAAAAAAAGAATCTCAATTTTTTTTTGTAATCAACTCTTTTGTACTATATAGGTGATATCACTTTATCCGGAAAAGGAAGTGAAAAAAGGACTGGAACAGTTATACAAGAAGATAGAAAAACATCTAATTGATGATTCGCCGTTACTACAAGTTGTTTGGAGAAATGTGCAGGTTAGTATTTGCTGTACTTTCACTTTTTATTTTCTCATTCGATGTTTGTTTCGGACGCAGAGTTGTACAGAACTTTATAATTTAATAGTATTTTAGATGTTGCTCTCCGGTTATATTTGCTTCACAAAATTTTCAGGATGAATTCCTGAAACAACTGAAACATTACAATGAAGTAATGGGACAGTGTTATCCGAACTCACGAATCGATCTTGAAGTATCTATCCAAGATGTTCTGAGCTATTTTTCTCAGTTCGCTATGCAACACTGAATGGACTGAAATGATAGAAGTGATATTAATCTAAATTGCTTTTTATAGCTCGATTTTTCGGAAAAACTGTTAATTTTGTTTCTGTACTTATGATTTGCGTTTTTATGCTCAGCTACCCACGCTTTGAAAAACTTTGAATTGCACTGTTTGCGTTTAGTACATTATTTTAATAAAGGCAATAATCAATGTTCGTTAACACAGATTTGATTTCTGATTGTTAAGATTGGCTGATAAAAAAGAAACGAACTTTTTATTATTAGTGCTGAACTGTTGACCCTAAAAAATTAATATATTGCTGCATACTGAAGATAATGAAGCGGAAGTTTAGTTTTTGCAAACGACTTCTGTGTGTGTGTGTGTGTGTGTGTGTGTGTATGCATGTGAGGGATAGGAGAAGATAGTTTCAAAGTTCAAGAAAATTTCGCCTAAATTCTGATAAACTAGGAACAGGGGCGCCAATGTATGGTACGTTATGAGGCAATAATGCGCAAGATAGGAGGGATACGTTGTGTATATGTATGTATGTGTCTGTGTGTGTGTGTGTGTGTATGCGTTGTGTGTATGTATGTGTGTGTGTGTGTGTGTGTGTATGCATGTGAGGGATAGGAGAAGTTGAGAGCGTTGAAGTTGAGGCTGTGGATTTATGCCGACTGTTTGGATGAGGCAGTTGGTGTATATTATTCAAGAGTTGATGGGGTGTGGTGTGGAACCTCGAGTAGAATTAGCTTTACGACGAACTCTATTCTTTGGTTTAATACTCCTTGTTTACCTAATTTTTGGTGCCTTGATCTTTTCTGTTTTACCAAAACGACAGCAGACTTTGGTAAGCCTTTTAAAATTTTTAGATTTATTTTATTATATAATTGAGAATAAAGTCATCCGGTACAATATCAATATTACACTTCTTCTGACACTTTCTTTTAAAAAAAAAATGTGCGATAGAAACACATCGGTTTGTACAAATTATAAGTTTTCTTGTCAACAAATCTCCATTTTTGTCACATTTCTTTCATATTCGTTTTATATCAATTTAAAACTGTAATATTTACGATATATTTACTGCCAGGAATGACTGATAAGTCTAGCATGATATATTTCACGTAAAATTGTGTTTCAATATCATCAAATGATTTGCAAATATTTACAAGCATAATTATTTTCTCAAATATTTTCAAATTGAAAATGAAGAAGTGTAATGGTAGAATCAGTTAAGTGACATACTTTTTTATTAGCTTTATAGATACTTTTTTGGTTTATTAAACTTAACTTGCATGCAATTCATAAAATTAAAATTTGAAATACGAAGTTATAGAAAAATTGCTTTGTAAATCAATTACTATTATGAAACTGTTGAAGCTAAATTCAAAATACTTTTAGAGATATTCCGATAGACCTTTTTTACTTTTCAAAATAAGTGTGAGCTTTTACACAAATATATTTTTTATCATTAATTGATTAATAAGCATATCCAATCATAAACAAAAAATACTATTATAATTAAAAAAAGAAATCTGCAAAACGTTATTTCATATTTTCTTAACGAAAGATTAATTTCCACTCTTTCTTACAGTGCACATAATTCCTTATATTTAGGTGGGTGTGTTAGAGGTCATCGACGATTAGTACGATGTTCGCCAGTAAACCTATCGATTTTCTTAAGAATGATTTGGCTTTTGTTTCTCGTGAAGCTATTGAACTTTTGATGATTATGTATCCCTTTCCCGACTTCTTGGAACACTCAGAATATTGTCAAGAACATTATGATACTAAAATTTTGTAGAAATGTGAGAAAAGTGCGGCACGATTGGATGCGCAGCGAAGCGAAATGTTAAATGTATTATGGGCAGAGACTATGGCCCAGTCAGAACACGAATGGTTCCTGATGGCTAATCAGAAACTGGACATCTACGAGCGACTTGTGGTAAATTCATGTCGAAGAGTTACCGCTTCACCATCAAAATCATTCAGTAAAGCATTCATACATGCTTTTACTCTGATTACTACAATTGGTGTGTTAATAATAATATGTTAATCACAATAATTCGACTAAATTATTTCATACATCTGAAATTGGTTTTTAAATAACGTTTCAAAAATTTTGAGACCTTAAAAGACTCGAATTGTTCAAGGTTTTCGTGAGATTTTGGAACTCAAAATATCCATGAATTTAACTAAATCTCAAGGACTGGGGTTATTTCAAAGAAATTTGGTTGTTGTAAAAGAGAAGAAATCATCAATAACTAGAGTGATTCCTACGGTTGACATTTTTTTTGGTAGGCTTATACATTGTTACATTAGGGCATGCATCGCTACCTAAACAACTGGACCATATAGTGGTGATTCTGAACAAAAATTTTATCCATTTAAAAACCAATAATTTTTTTAGGATTCTTAGATGAGGAAAATTTCTCACCAATCGGTAAAATAGCAGCAATGAGTTATGCTATTATTGGCATACCGCTGGCACTTTTATACCTTGCTCAGTGCTCTAAAATGTTTGCTGGTCTATTTCCGGGTAATCATATATTTATTGCGGCACTTGTAGCTATTTTTGCAGCAGCTGTTATTTTCGACATTATAGAAGAATCGAATGATGATACGGTATGTTTAAATCTTTTGAATTTTAAAAAGAATGAAGTTATTCCTCGAATTTTCGAATTTGTTAAAATTAATCACTAAAAACATTAACGAGTTGCACGTCGAAGTATGTTTGACATTCGAAACTAAAAAAAAATTTTTCAGTCGTTATCTAACTTGTGTAGCAACTTTAGCTTCAGCATAACAAACAAGTCCAACTTGATTAAAAAATTTCATTTTCTCAAATTTTTCTTCCAAAATTTTCGAATTGCTTTTGAAATTTGCGGTTCTTTGTGTAACTTTTTCAATAGCTTCATCTTTATCAACAACAATTTCCACTTTTATCCGATTTCTTCCTCTATCTCTAGATATCAGTTTTTTTTTTCGGCAATACTGTATCAAATCTGTTCAAGTATATTAGGACATATGGGCCGTTGTGGACTAAGAGGATTGGACAATTTTATTTCAATACTTGTAGAAAATTCATAACTTACAAATATTTCAGTTTCATAAAAATTCTTACTTTTTTGCTCATATCACGATTTCATTTTTTCAATGTTTGTTTTGAAGTGCAGCATCTAATTAATGGACATAATTAATTCATTGTCACTTTAGCCGTTTGTCGATGTTGCCTTCCATATATTTCTAATGTTGTCAACGGTGGGAAGTTGCAGTATCGAACCGCCCGTTACATTGGTCCTTGTCGCTCTGTTCGCTGTTGGTCTAATATCCGTATCTTATGTATTAATCGATCGGCAGATTGAACATGTTTTGCAGGTAATATTAGCTATCATTCGTTCAGAAGTTATTGCTTTCACTACTTCCCCCTAGCAACTGTTAAATTTTATTAGTTAAATTTGAAATCTTTCCAATGAGAACATGTTTCAGAAAAAAATCTAATTTATTTGCTAAATTTTTTCCGACTAGAATTCCAAATACGTTTTAATTAATGAAATAAAAGCATCATTTCCAGAGATTCGAATTGCTGTTTAGCAAATATTTCGGTATAATTCGGCGTTGGATGTGTAGTAAGGATGAATTTGAGAACAAGATAATTGAGGAGGAAGAAGAAGAAACCGAATCCGATACGTAATTGATTTGTATTTTAACCAATTTTCAATCCCATAGTATTGGGTGAATTTTGATAAGTTTTAGCTCCTGTGATATCTTTCTGGATTTCAGCCACACCCGTAGCAGTCATCAGAATTACCACCAAAATTATAATGCTTAATGCTTAGTTTTGCATACTACTTTATTTGAAAATTCGAATATATTCAAATTTTGTGAATTTATTTATAGTAAACTGATCCTAATATCTTCTGGTTCATGCTCTACCTTTTCAACACTTTACATCAATATTTCGACCTTTTGTAGTTCATCTTTCCAATTTTCAAGAAAAGTAGTTTAGGAGGAAGAAGTGAAAATTGCACATTTCGGAAATTGAAATCAAAGTTTACACGAACTATAAAGTTTTAAATGAAATGCTACCGATGTATGTAAAAAATTAGCAATGTCACATTATTATTCTGTGTGAAAGTCCATTCTTCTCTCGTCTTTTCCATAATTATTGGATGTTTGCTATACGTTTAGTGTATCCGATGAAATGAATTTTAAAATTTTAAATTTCTTTTTGAATTCTGTATGAAATTGGATTGGTTGTTGCTATTTTACTGATATCCAAAAATGGGTACTTAGTGAACTGAACCGTTTCATTTTCTCCTTTTTTATTCAATTTCCCGAATAGATATTATATAAGAGTAGATTTGATTTGCATCGTACAAGCGTAAAATAACGGCGCCACATTACTTTAACGAGTTAATTCACGTTACTACGATAAACAAGAAATTTCCAAAAAGTTTGGGAAAACTGCAACTCTGTCTCTCCGTTCCTCCAATTTCTCTCCTATCCGAAATTTTACCTTAAGAAACTTGCTGAATTTATCAAGTTATTACGAATAACTTCAATTTGCAGAGCTATTTAAATCTCCGAGACTGCATAATTTCTTCATTTTCAATTGACAAAGGAAATCGGAACAGAATATTTTATATAAGTAGACAAAATAGTCCATTTTCAAAGTTATATAAGAAAGAAGCTAATATAATCAATTATGGAAATTCCAAGTTCATTCCAACACAATTATCAACGACTACTATAATTCATTTATTTATTAAATCAAAATTTCTCATCTTTTTCTCCCAAATGAATCAAAATCACTTTATCAAGATTGAATAATTTAAAAAAAGATTTGAAACTTTTTAAATTTGCAGTAGCATAGAAAGGTCAAGGAAAAATGAAAGTTTTGCCATTTCATTGTTTGTTGAAAAAAGGATGTTAGCATAAAATGCATTCTTTATTTAAAATGATATTGAAATCTATAAATTAATTTTTCTCGAAACCAAATTAATGAATTTTACTTCATGTAA